CGTCAATTTGTAGGGTTGACTACAGGGGTTTTCACAAAATATTTACACAATGAGATTATTGTTATATAATCAGTCATGTGGATACAGTGATTAATTGGGTAAAGGCAAAAAATAGAGCAGCTAGAACAGTCCGGTAAGTATAGAAAATCACATCACTTGATGGCCTTGTCCTACAGGGCAAAGGGGCATGTGGTTTGATGTCTTTGGTCCGTGTGACACATTAAAAGTAACTTTTAACAGTTATTAACAAATCTCATTGATATAATCTGTCTTAAAGAGCAACATAAAGTGTACAAATTAAGTGTATAAATTAACAGCATTATCAACTTTAATATATGTGCTTCCTGCATTTCTATACATCAAGGCTGGCCATTTGTGTGTTTAGCCAGTGTTTAGCAGTCTGTTGGCTGTAGTGGAAAGCTGCACAGGGAATCAGACTATATTAAATAAACCCTTTGATGATATTTAAGGATGTCTAGAAGGGATGAGGCTTTTGCTAAGTTTCGTCTCAGTGGTTATACACACGTATCAATCTTTAAAAAGTGTGTGTTTTCTAAACAGAATCCACCAACACTTTAATGAAGCGGTGCTTATACGGCGTAAGCAATTTGCGACAACACTGTTACCATTTTAATCAGAGCAGCCTAATATAATGCAGTCACGCAACATTCATTATAGATTATTCAAAATATAAAATTACATAGCTAGACACTGACATTCATTTCTTGGTATCTGTGTTGTTTATATGCTGTGAAAAATATATCTAACTGGTACAATTATCTGAGCTCTGTTTAGCACATATAGTTCTGCCCTCAAAGTGATTGCTGTTGACAAGCAAAATTTTAATCAGCAGAAATCACTTGCTGCTTATGAAAGATAACAATAGTTATTAATGAAACTAATAACTATAGTCTCTTGCTTTTTTTGTTCAATATATCCTACCACCCACATGCTGATGTTTTGTTACCTCCAGTGGCAGATCTTTCTATAGACAACATAGCGGGCCACCTAGGGTGCCACTCAGAGTGGGATGGGGGGCTGCAAATTATTATTTTTTAATTCACAAGAAATTGAGCATGAGTGAAAAATGAATGCTAACGGTTGGCCTGTAACAGGAGCGCCACCTCTAGTCCTGACAGTGCAGTTCATGTGATGTGTTCATCAGTAAGAGATTATCACACAACATGCTAAAACACTGATGGGTATGGTGGACAGCATTAGAGTTAGAGAAAAGAGAGAAAGGAAAAAGCCACTGGGGTGCAGTACAAAAAATAATAAATTACAAAAAAAAGAAGAAGACGTAATGTGCAAATTGTAGGTGTTCTTCTTTTATTGTTTGCATGTACTATTATTGTTAAGTATCTACCTTGTTCATTTTCATGATTGTTGATTAATTACCTTTTTTCTTGTTTGTACTAAATACTTTCTTTGGGGGTCGTCTGCCGAGAAAGCTTACCTAGGGTACCAAATGTGCTAGGTCCAGCACTGTTCAGCACTGTTTACTTCATTTGTTTGTTAAAATACTATGATCATTTATTTTAAAACACTAGTACCGTATGAACTAACTGCATGATAATGAGTTAAATCAGTAAGTAATGAAAAGGTTAAACACTGATGCAAAACATACATTCGGATTTCAGCTTGGCACAATTGTAATGAATTGAAATTATATTACACCATTTTGGTATTAAGAATCTTCTTGCCTAATGAATTACAATTAACAGGGGAAGCATTTGCTCTTCTAAAAGAACTGCTCTGCATTTAAAAACGGAGCATGTTTGCTACCTCTCAGGAGTGAAATATCTCATTACAACATGGGTCGACCCCGGTGACCCAAGTTAGAGAATAAAAATGTGCGTATTGGAAACCGAGGCACAAACCTGGGCTGGTACTGCAAATATTGAAAGGATTCTGCTTTGTTGCAGACAGATGCAGCTGCCCCAGGTCAAAATGTAAAATAAGTTCTCATAACCCAAAGAGCAGTACGTAAAAGGTAAAATTTCCTATTATCAGAGCAGCGTGCTATCAGCAGCTTGAAGCGGTGCCTCCAGGGTTTCTCCTCTCAATGGGAAAATTATAGTGACAGAAAGGCTTAATACGCGCACAGCATGAGGCATTTTAGTTGTGCTCCTTGTGTAGCTTTCACCCTTACTGAGCTGCTGTGACCCCCGAGCCTTCATGAATGCCATTTTCTGATTGCTAGGTGCTCAAAATAATGTTGTAAGATACCATTACTCACTCTGCAAAACCATAATAAACAGCAATAAAATTTATTTTCAATAATATTCTATTTCATGCTTTATATCTCCTGGCCAAATAAGATTTTTTTCTTTCCATGATCTGTTTTGAAATTTACACCCAGTGCTCTGTGGAAGGCCGTATTTAATAACAATACAAGTGACTGTCTGATAAGTAACAATACGACTGCTTGCTTATGTCTAAATTCTGTGTAAGTTGCCGCACATTGTTCTAACAAAAGGAACATTAACCCCTGTCGAATACCTCAATTTATTTCCAACACACAGTATTATGGTCTTTAGAAAACACTGAAAAAGAAACTTGAAATAGATTTAAAAGCCCACCCTTCTATCCAGAGAGCACCTCACATTGTTGAGTATTGATATCCTACCAGCGCCTCATCTGTTTGTCTTTCTGATCTGCTAGCTCTCTGTTCCAAGCTGCAGGTACAAGATGTTCACTAAGGGATATAGAATTCATTTGTTTCAATTTAATTTCAAATAGAGAGCAGTGGCACATGGAGAAAATGTAAATAGCTGCACCTGAGATGATACCCAGTAACAAAGAGAAGTGTTTGGTATGTATATTGTAAGTGATTTTCAAAAACAATGTAAGTCAGCTATCCATTAGTGGAAGTGTAGGCATCGCTGATGGGTGGCATTATGGGGAGTGTGAAGGAGCTCACTTTAGATCAGAGAATAAACTGTATTTAATTTGCAATATTTGTATTTAATTGCCAGGCAAAAAGCAAAGAGAGATAGCTTTTTAGATGCTTTTTGACACCCACATTACTTCTCTTACCCCTCACAGATAGACAGACACAGGAAAGGACTGATGAGAGATGGAGCCAACTGTTTCTCCTTCCCTTTGTACATCTACCCAGCAGCCACTGATCAATAGTTACTCATGATGGTTGGCTTTCTTACTATCTCTCTCTCTTTGCCCTGCCTAACCCTTCTCTTTTTCTTTTCTCCTCACCCATCCTTTGTTCTTTTCTGATGTGCCCCTCTTTTCTACCCTTTTTTTCTGCCCCTCCCCTCAATCCTCCCACCTTCTCGGCTCCCCATTTGCCTTCCATTTCTTCCACTCCCTGCTTCTATTCACATTCTTTTTTCCTCCACCTCACTTCCTTCCTCCCCTGTCCCTCAGTCCACCTTTTCTTCTCCCTCCACTATTTTACATTTACTCTCATCCTTTCCTCTCCATTCCATCCCCTTCAATCCCTACCGCTCTCCTTTCCCTGCTGTCTCTCATCTCTCGCATTCACCACAGTAGCTGCCTCTAAGGCAATCAAACAGTGGGAGTTTTCAACACAGCAGATGCGCTGGATGGATGGGAGGATGAGTGGAAGAGGTTGAGGGTGAGCAGCACACAGGCTGGATGCTCGGAGGAGAGAGGACAACCTACACCTGTTTCATGTCAGGAACGTGATGGAACACAGCTTTTCCTACTTGCATTTAAAGTTAAAGTTTATAAATGAGTTTTGAAATGTTATTATTTAAAAATGTTTGGGGCTTTAGAGGACGTAAACTGAAGTGGTGCACTCTAGCCTTAAGATTCTGGTTGTAAAAGTCACTGTTTGGCTGTTTGACTGTGCACATTATGTCACGGCTACACCGCAGTTTCATATTGAGAACACAGCACATTAGCACAAATAACAGCACTAATGGTAATGTGACAGACATTATCACCATTGTGTTCTGCACGTTATGACAGACTTAATTACCTCAGTGCCATGAGTCAAGTGTTAGCCATGCACGGTCTATTTGAGTTCAGTCACACAAAGATGACTGGGAGTACTCGCCAAGCTTGACATAGCTTACACCCCCCCTCCTCACATATCGCCCGCCCTGCTTGTTGTTGTTATTGTTGCTGCCATGCTAATTAATTCAAGACTCCAATAATAAAGTATAAGTAGCAAAACATAATGCCAAAGCCCCGGGGAGTCAACGGCATAATTACACAACAGTTTAATTTGCAAGAGATACATTGTAATTAACGCTGTGTGCCTTGTAAAGCGTCATCACGCGCATGTTAAATGCTGGGAATAGGCTTAAGACTGCTCAAGTGCTTCATCACTTGACACATCAAAAGAATATGGAGACTGCATCTAAGGCAGAGTGAAAACGAGTTGTTAGTGGGATGAAAGGGAGAGTTGTGATGGGGCATACTGCAGGCGGTGTGTGCGAGAAACAAATAAGTGGAAAACATTATTATTTCTGCATAAAACCCATGTGAGTGTTGTTGTGCGTGCGAGCAGGAAAATTAAAATGCCTGTCTCTGTTTGCTCTGTTCAAAATGTACTTAATGTTTTAATCTCTTAAATAATCAAAAATCTTAGTCAGCCTGCTGCTGCTGCTTCTTCAAGAGGAGAGGCAGAGAGAGGAGGAGACGTCGCTGTCCACGGTGCTGAAAGTAAAGCTGCTGGAGCCTCGCGCCCCTCCTCGTGCTCACCACAGCACCCCGTCCTCCTGCCGGCTGCACGCGCTTCGTTTGGCTCTGTCCTCTCTGCATGTATTGATTAATTATGATTGGGCCGGCGGGTGGCGGGCGACTGGCTTTCATCTGTTAACGCCCGCCTCCGTTGTTGTCTCCCGGGAAAGACATCTCAAACATCTTACAAAATGACTTGCAGTGCGGCTGAACTTTTATTATGGCGGGGGAGGGGGGGGGATAGCGCGGGGGCGCCTGATGTGGGCCACGCGCACAGACACACAAGCACACACATCCACATAAAAGACAAACACACCAAAAGGCGCTACCTGTATAGTTTGGCGGTTGTAGACTTTCACTACGTGGAAGTTAAAACTGTAAATCCCTTTGCGCGGCGCGATGAAATTACTTCTTTCCTCGTCAAAATTCCTCCCAACGTTTACTAGAACCTGAAAAAGTAAGAAAGAAAGAAAGAAAGAAAGAAAGAAAGAAAGAAAAAATTGCTTTATCCGGCTTATGTCTTTCACAGTATTTGCACTTCTAAGTCACTGCGGGATCACATGAATGCATTAAGAATTTATTACAAAGATGCCAAACGAACATTAATAACCAAAAACATAGCCCGCATCTTAAAAAGCAGATAATCCCAAATGTTTCCACATTACAAACAAAAATTAGACGCACATTAAGCTGCGGACGCTTTCTGACAAAATTCTCAAGATTTGTTTATTTTGTATTAACTTAGTTTGTATTAAACCCACATGCCATTAAATTATATATTCTATTTTGGGAATGATGTCCATTATAGCCTATTGAAATTGATATCTCATGTGTTTTTAAATAAAGGACTTTAAAGGGCCCCTCTGGCCCCGGGACCACACATTCAGATTCACTCATGTAGTGGAATAACTCTCAGCTTTTATCTCGGCTCCCCCCTCCTGTCAGAACTTCCAAACTTTATGGGAAATGAAAGGGAACTTAATCAATCATTCAAATAGAATTTTCAATTATGCATTTCTGCAGCCAAATGTCTGGTTTTATGGATGGAGGCGAACTATGGCGTGTAATTGAACGGCAGTTTGAGAGAGAATTAACCTTTAACGGCAGGCGGGTAGGACCTCGCCCTCGCGACCTGCCGTTACTAAATTATTTGGCGAGATGTCAGTTCCCATATCCCGTATTGTCAGCTCAGAAAAGTTGAAATATTCAAAAGGCTTGCCTACCAGGCTATACTTTCCCAGCCACTTTGGAAATGTATTACCTATAAAAATAGTCGTTACCGAGACGGATTCATTTCCGCTGCACTTTCCTCGAATGGAGCTGCTCGCTGCTGTCCACGAGACCACTAGCTATCAGAGGTGCACGCGATGCAGCTGCGCGTATATCCAGCCACTGTTACTATAGCCATTGACTTTCACCTGGGTTCCTGGTTTATGAACTTTTTATTATTTTTACACGCTCCGAGACTACGATCAGCCTTTATTGCACATAGCCTATCTTTTCTTTCTTTTTTTGATTTGCATAAAAAGACCACATGAAACAGTCATCGGGAGGTCATTTACTGGTCAGTGGCGCAGAAATAAGAACGGCCTACTTTTTTGCTTCTGGTTTTCCTGTAAGATAGGTGACATTTTATCTTTTATCTTCCATTCACTGATAGATCAATTTGTCTTTCCTCCATGGGCTATTTGACAACTGGCCACACCAAGCAATAAGCACGCTACACATGAAACACACGCCCACACACACAATCTGAAACTTAGTAGGCTATGTGCGCTGATCGACATCATGCCTTCATCAGGTAGAATTCATTTATAATGAAAGCAGACACAAAAGTGACAAGACTGACTGAAACATTTATAAACTTACTTTGCTTATTTGATTTTTTTGATACAATTGTCATTTTAGAACAGAATAGAATAGAATAGAATTGAATAGAATAGAAATGTATTTCTCCTACCCGGTCGAAGTAGATGACCATGGTCCGGTTGCTCATCTCGGAGGGTTCATGGTTGGTGTTCCGGACTGCGGAGAACGCCACCTTGGCGCTGCCCGAGCGCACCGAGATCCCGAGCGCCGTGCCTGTGGGGTCCGCGGTCGGGTTGGAGTCGCACACCACGAGGCACTTCCCCTCCAGGACGATTGGTTCCGTCTCGTTCTGAGCGCGGGCCGGGCTCGCCGCGAGCCACACGGCACTCAGCAGGCAAAACGCCAACATACCGGACCAGAACGATGAACTTCTTCGGTCGTCTTCACACCTTAACCCGCGGGTCTATTCCCCAGAAAAGTAAGGTAGGAAGAGTTTCCCGTCGTGCCCCAGATGAACCTGTTTTACAACTCTGCCACTCCGTTTTTCTTGGATTTAATTAGCCTACTGCGAACAGTTTCTCCCTCGCGGAAGGGAAACCAGACGGTTTATTTTTAGGCTTCTCTCCTTTTTTTCCTGAAAATCAGTTTATTGCCCCCGTATCTCCGGTCGAGTCGCCAGTTTAAACCTGTTCTTTTCCTCTTTTCTCACTTCTCAGCAGCTTTTCTGTCACTTGGAAACACAATAAGCGGGAGTCGCGCGCGGTGCGGAGGGGCCCTGGACGAGTGACGAGGCAGCAGAACTCATAGCGCGCGGGGGGGAGCTCCGTCTGCTCTCTCTCGCGCGCGCTTGAATTATTGATATGTTGAGATATGAGAGTTTCAAACACAAAAGGCTCGGGAGGAAGGGACGCGGCGCGCGAGCGCAAGATGCTCCCGCCCTGGTCCTACTCCTTTTTTTCTCTTTTTTTTTTTTTTTTTTTTTTTTTTTAAACAGACCCCTCCCTCCCCCCGGTAACTGAGACCCATCATCGGATTAGCGCGTGCGCGTCTTCGATATTTTCCAATCACTGCGTGCCGACCGCCCCCTCCCCGCCCCACCACTTTATCTAGCATCTCTCTCTCTCCCTCTCTCCTTCCCTGCTTTCCCCCTCCCCTTGTCTTTCTTACACATATCTATCTATCTATCTATCTATCTATCTATCTATCTATCTATCTACCTCCCTCACACACACATGCTGTATTCTTTCTCTTAAAAATCAATCTCCCTTCATCTTACACACGTGTTCGTTTTGCTCTCTTTCTTTTCATCTGTCTCTCCTTCCCTCTCTTATCCACCAACCCAAACACACACACATACACACACACACACACACACACACACACACACAGAGTCTCATCAGCATCTTACAGGTGAGCCACAGAAAGCAGCAGCAGTCCTTACAGAGGAGGAGCCATGTAAGATGAGCACACATAAGCACAGTCCACACTCATGATACGTTCTGCTACTCATCATCATCATCATCATCATCATCATCATCAGCACCATTATCATCATTATCGTCATCACTGAAGCAGAAGACTGCCTGAAAACGGAGTTGTTAAACTGTTCTACAAACCAGCAAGAGGAGACGAAACCTCTCCAGGGTGTGTAAATACCTCCTGAAGCTATGTAAAATCTAAAAGTTTGCAGAGGGATTTAATTAAAGCTGCAAACGAGCGCAGACAGACACGGTTTAGGCATAATGATTTTAAAAATATCCAAATATCAGGAAGCATTAGGCATCTTTGGTATCGTGGCAGCCGTAAAAGACACCGCGGGGAGATGCAGCAATGCAGAAAGTGTGCCAAATGAGCACCGCTGGGAACCAATCCAACAAGGACACACAAACATGACAGGTAGTTTTAAAGGACTATTCCAGTGAATAAGTATTACACTAAATGTATGGTCAAATTAGCAGCAGAGGAAGAGACTGACTTTTAGTCTCTTGGGTCAAGCTCCACAATTGTTGTACCCTACACTTCCCATAATGCATCACAGCAGCACTGTGGATAGCTTTAACACACGTGTCTTTCAATATTATTTAACAGGCTTTTGATTGACTATTTGTAGTATCAAAGCCTGAACACAGTTTATTCAAGTGCTGGAAGCTGAGTTGTTTCCTCAGACTTCAGAAAGCTCCCCGCAGAGCCACAATGAATATTATGCAACTGTTTTCACAGGCTCTGGAGTACTCTCCATTTATAGTAAACTGAGTTTGACATGTTAAGTCAGCAGCGTTGCAAACCACAGATAGCTTCACGTGAGTCAAGAGTGATCACTTTTTTCTTTTTAAATAGATTGGTCAAAAAGTGTTTTATTCAACAAATCTATCAGCCATTGTACTGCATTGTACACTGTTGGATTGGGTGGGTGGGTGTCTGTTGTTGTTTTGCCCCTTTTTGTAGTTGTTTTGGAACCCTTTGAAGTTGTAAAGTGTCTCTTTGTGGCCATTTTGTGTCTCTTTGTGGTCCATTTGTGTCTTTTTAGTCATTTTGAGTCTCTGTGGTTTTTTTTCACTCCTTTTGGTAGTTGTTTTGCATCCCTTTGAAGTTGTTAAGTGTCTCGTCATTTTGTGTCTCTTTGTGGGGGGTTTTGTGTCTCTTTGTAGTTGCTCTGTGTCTCTTTGTGGTCACTTTGTGCATCTTTGTAGCCATTTTGTGTCTTTTTGTAGTCTTTTTGTGTCTCATTGTGGTCATTTTGTGTCTTTTTGTGGTTATTTTGTGTGCTTTTGTAGTCATTTTGCATTTCTTTGTAGTCATTTCAATTCTCTTTGTCGTTATTTTGTGTGTTTGGGATTGTTCTGCATCTCTTTGTAGTTGTTAAGTGTCTCTTTGTAGTCATTTTGTGTCTCCTTGTGGCTGTTTCCCCCCTGTAGTCACTTTGCGTTTTATCTGTGTCTCTTTGAGGTCCATTTGTGTGTTTTTGTGATTGTTTCACCCCCTTTTGGAGTTGTTATGCTATGTTTTGTAAATGCCAAGTGTCTCTTTCTAGTCATTTTGTGTCACTTTGTTATTATTTTGTCCCTTTTCATGGTTGTTGTGAGTTTCTTTGTGTCTTCTTGTAGCTTTTTCACATTTCTTTGTAGTCCTGATATCTCTTTTTGGTCTTTCTTTGACCACTCTGGGCCCCTGGGCCTGTGCCTGGTAGGTCCATTCCAGCCTCAGTTAGATCCACAGTTTCGATGGTTAAGAGTTTAGTGACACTGAAGAGCATCGAAAAATAGCTTCCAATTGTCTCATTGAACTAACAGAAGTAGGCTAATAAAAACATGTCATGATAAGAGTCAACGGATAAACAGAAAGTAAGAGAGTGAATGCATACTGTACAAAACACCAAACCACACACCAACTTTGACAACACTTTTTAAAACCTTTTGTTTTGACTTGATTGTCACATTTCTCTTCAACATGTGCCTCTCCTTATCCTCCTCTAATGCCTCCTCTTTTTTCTTTTCTCTCATCTTCACTTCTTTCATTTGTATAGCTTTTTACTTCTTTTCTGATTTTTCTGTCAGTGCTTTTTTTGGCTTTTTTTGTTTGTCTTCCTTTTCTTTGCTCTGTATGATTTCTTCGTTCTATTGTTTTTTCTCCCTTTCACTCCTTCCTCCCTCCCTCTCTCTTTACCGGATCTTTCTCTCATGGTTTCTTTCTCCTTCCTACCTTCTCCTGTCTCTTCTCTCTCCGTCTTTGTCATCCTCCGTCCCCTCTGCCGTTCCTGCAGTTTTCCTCCCTGCATCTCCGTTGCTGTTTCTCTCTCCCAGGGGTTTCCTTCAGCCTTTAATACAAGCTGACAGTGAATGACAGGCCAAAAGGACTTCTCTCAGATGCAGGATGCAGGGGACGAGCCACATCTATGCTCTCTCTCTTTGTCATACACTCAAATATAGATGTTGTCACACATTCAAATCTGCATTTCCTCTCTCCTTCTCACAACCACAATGCTCTTTTGCCTACTACAATTTGTGTGTGTGTGTGTGTGTGTGTGTTAGCTGTCTGAGGTTGTCACGGGCACACAGGGGGAACACTGCTCATTGTTTCTCAGGGTGACACGAGCCTGACTGCAGTTTAACTGGACTGACAGACAGGAGCAAGCTGCCACTACACGCCTACTTTGTCCATGTTTGTGTGTATGTGTGTGTGGGTGTGTGTGTGTGTGTGTGTGTATGTCCATCAGTCTACGTGTGTCTCTGTGCGTGTGTTGGTTTGTTCTCAGCAGAGATTAAAGAACGATCATGGATATCATATTCATCGCCTCTGGACCACGAGGCCTGTCTTCTCTCCCGACTGCCTGTCTGTCCACCTGCCAGCCTAATTACCTGTCTGTCTCTCACGCTCATCTGTCTGTCTGTCCGTCTGTCTGCCTTTCTGCCTGCTGGCCGATGATGCTCTCTAGCCTCAGACTCTGAGGCTGCGCAGTGCTGCCGTGACATTTAGGAAGTGAGATCACCAAAGTTCATCTTTTGGGGGGGAAGTAAAGAAGGACAGAAAGAAATTAATCAAATCAAAGCTAATGTGAGGAAAAGACACATTCCTTAAATCATAATTATGGAGACAGCATTAGGGATTGCGGAATAGCCAAACAGCCAGTGTAATGTGAAGAAAAATATGGCTTTAGTTAGTTGGCATATTGTCTGGAAAGAGTCCTATTGTCGTCACTGCTCTAAAATGTGCTGTTTGGAAGCTAATTAGGTGTGAATACTGAAAGGAACAAGTATCACTTTTTCTATTTGCAGGCCTTTTTTAGACTTAATACTTACTGTACATGAAAGGGATAGGGATACATGATATGGCATTATAGTCTTAAATAGACTGTGTTGTTTGAGGCTATTATTTCTGTAGAAAAGTAAAATAGATTATGGTCCATGCACTGTAGAATCATTTCCTCAATGTAATTGTCAAATTACTTTTGAGCACAATGTCTAAGCCTATTGGCAAGAAAATTGGCTAATTCTATGTGTTGCATTGAGTATTCAGTATTTATTATTGTCCCTGGGTGTCATTTCCCATTAGCGGTGCAGACGCTGACTTAAAGCATCAAGGAGGTCCCTTAACTAAGTCACAGAGAGGGCTGCCTCACTTTAAAATGTGAAGCTTCTCAAACTTGCAGATGTGGAAGTGTTAAGGAAACATATTTCCCAACAGCTGTGCTCTCTTCAGTAAAACAAGAATTTGACAGAGACGGAGGCAGCCTGAAGAAAAGAGGCAGAGCCTGTGGGAAGACCAGAGATTGACCTCTGCTGTTGGAGACAGCTAAAGGGACTCAACACAGACTCGACACCAAAGCTGGAAACAAACAAATTTCTGTCAAAATCTGTTCACAAAGCTTCATAAAAAACATTTTTGTTACCCTTAACTCAGGCTGAATATTTAGAAACAAATTTGAACAAAAAAATTAAATATACAGTTTGTTATCATACAGGCAGATACAATTATATCACACCACCCACTGAGTTTTCCAATGTCTGGCTACAGTAGTCACATCGTCCCCACCTACTCACCTACAAGAGCTGAGCAAGTTGAGCCTTCTGTACCCTATACGATGAGATGAACACTCTCTGTTAAATACAGGCTGCTGTGAGCCACCAAACCAGTGATCACGACATAGTTGGTATTTTTGTTTTTTGTTTGTTTGTTTGTTTTTGGACAGCCTGGAACTGGCTTCTGCCTCCCTACTTGATGGCTATAGTTTTTTTGTTTGTTTGTTTGTTTGTTTGTTTGTTTCTCTGTGGGGACAACCCCTCCTTTAATAAATCAATAATACTCTCCCATTATCAATTAATGTTATTTATAAATGATCTATTTATACATTTAATGAAAACAAAAACTCATGTACACTTACCTTATAAATGGCTTTGCTGGATGTATTTGTACAGTTTCTGCTTGTTAAATGCGTGCAGTCTTTTTCAAAATTAACTTAACAGCGTTTGTAAAACACCACATATTTACCTTTATTTCCTTGTGCAACAAAAGCACGTGGTTAGGTTCAGGAAAAAAAACATCATGGTTTGGCTCAACACCAAGTTCCTGGGTGAAAGTCAGTCAGTATGTTTACATGACAGTGAAAAGAAAATCA